GCCAAACATACGATGAGTTCAATGAGATGGAGCAGGGTGCCCCTGAAGTTCATCCACAACCCATAAAGGTTCCTTTTGAAAGCGTCATTGGAACATCATCAATACGCCGAAGAAGGCATAAAGATACTTTGGCCCATCTGATGACATTCTTGCTAAAATGAGGCGGCGTAATGATATGGATTCTAAGTGCGGCCAAAGACTTCAGGATATTCATACTCAGAAGACTGAGATGATGTGCTTCATTCAGCAAATTCATCAGGATCAACGTGACTACAATGATAGGAATGACCGAAGAATGTTTGACATGATCGACCAGATGACAACTTTGAAAGTGCATGTGGACGACTTACAGGAGTATATTTATCATGTAGGTATGCCACCTCACCAGCCTGGAAATGGTAGTCATAGACGAGCACGTGGCAGAGGCCACCAGTAGCAGATACCCTAGTTTCTACCTTTCTTTTTCACCTTATTCGAAACATTGGGGATAATGTTTGATTTAAGTGTGGGGGAGAAAGCTTTACTTCTTTGGTTTATTGACTTTTGTTTTTTGTTTTTTATAGGTAGTTTCATTTCCCCTTTTTCTCATTTAGTGTTAGTGTTAGTTGAGTTGAATTCTTGTGATGTCGATTCCCCAATTTTCTTGAGCCATAACAATTTTTTTTGGTTGACCCATAACACGACACCTTAAAAAGTATATAGATTATTTTATATTTAGGCTATGTTGGATCGATTTGAGAAAGACTCACCAAAATAGATACTATTTTGACACCCTAAAATCCTTAGTCATGTACGATCAATTTGAATACCTATTATACCGAGATTTTAAGTTTGAGTTTTTAAGTAGCCTCGAGTAGTTTATACTAGCAGTCAACACCATCTTAAGTATAAACTACATAGGGAGTTGATAAATATAAGTGGATGATCCTCAAATTTCTAAATATATATATATTCCATAACTTAATAAAAATAGGGAATGCACCTATTAAGTTAGGTGACCTCACCCTATCACTTAACCCAACGATTATGGAACTTACAAAAGTTTTCATAAAAATTTGTTATTTGTTGGTTCAGAGGTATCTAGTGTTGAACTTGGTAGGCAGGACAACGGTTCAATCCCCCATAACTTGCAATTGGTTAAATAAAGGGGTTATCAAACTCATGTACCAGAACCCCAATTCTAAAGCATCAGAGTCACTAACCAACTACTCTACTATGTGCGTGCAAGGATAAAGGGCTTAATGTGATTGTGCTCGAATGAAAGTGGGTAAAATAAAACGAAATAAATATGTTGAGCTATAATAGAATGATTCAAACTGGTTTGGATTAAGGAGGGAGTTTTTGATCATGTTTGCGGTTCTGTGTCACTACGGTATCCTTAGTGTTGAATCCAAGTATCTATCATTCTAACAAAATGCCTCACAACCACGAAATTTCATCGTATTTTCGACTCGACTCGCAAGAATTATTTTACTATTTTTATCCATTTATGTCATTTTATGCTGGTAGTGTTTCTGTATTTTAAGTGTTTTTCATCTTTGAGGCTTGCATGAGAAAAGAAGATGAATTGGAAAAGAAAGAGCAAGAAAACATGAAGTAACAGAAGAAATAATGAAAATCTGTGCACAGAAGGTTGTGACCATTGCCACACCTTCTGTGGCCCTTGTCACACATGTAAAGACCGTGGCCCTCGCCACGCTTCCTTCCTGTGGCCACTGCCACATGTTATTTTATAATAGAGTCATCTTTTCTCCCACGTCAGAGCCACGAGTACATCACTTATCCTACTTTTTCTCTGCAAGATCAGGCATGACGAAAATATCTCCACGAATGAAGTTGTTCCTGATTTTTCTCAAAGGAGTTACGTGAATGCAACAAGCTATAAAAAGAGGAAGAATTAACAGTTACAGGGTCAAAGAATTTCCATTGTTCATAGCACTTTTCTTTCTAGATTCTAAGCAGAAAAATCACTATTTTAAAGTAATAGCTTTCCACATCGGGGACCTATTGCAATATTAGTTTAGATTTACAATTTTAGTCTTTCTTTAATTCTGTACTTTCAGAAGCGAATCCTTCCGACATCTGTGGAGGATCGTGAAGATTAATTTTTAAGTTGTAGTCAACTCTTTTTGTACTAGAGATTATTTCCAAGTTTTTATACAAGCTTTATTTATATTTACTTTATAGAAATCATGTTCCATTTTATGATTAACAACTTTTATAGAATTTCTCTATTCAAAACTATGTCTGGCTAATTCTCTTATATACCGGTATGTAACATAATCTAACCGAAGGGACTCGAAAACTTATTGGTATAAATACTTATAAACTACTTTCCTGATTTTGATTTCTAATTAAATTAATAAAACTGTTTTTGTTACGAGAGTAAAAGACAACAAAGGTTAAAATCAATACAACGGGAGTTTGAGATTTTTAATCGGATAGTAGTAACTGAATATTGATTCTAAATATAGCGAGAGCGCTTTAGGATTAATTAGATTTTATTGGTTTCTAAAAAGTGTTTTTAAATTCAAATGAGTCAACGAGAGCAAACATTTAGATTTAAGAAAATAGTCTAAGTCAATAAACACGAGAGTGTGAGATAAGGATTTTTAAACTAATAATTTCTACTGAAAAATATTTTTAAGAAAAACAAAATCAATAGTTAGTCGGATCCTTGAAGTCGAACAAATTACATACTGATATCCCTTATTTCGAATATTTTATTAAACTGAATTACTCCGTACTTCCCTCAAAAACCTAAGATTAATTTCAGCCTTAGTTTACATAGTAATATTAGATAACATTAGTTTGATTAACAGTCCCCGTGAGTTTGATATCTTTTCAAAATTACGCGATTAGATTGTACACTTGCAGTCAATAATTACGAAAGACTAATAAAATCGCGATCAAGGCATTAAAACACTATTTACACAACTTTAACCTCCTTTACAGATGATCAAGATCACCTTGAGTAGTGTTGTATTTGCTTGTACCAATTTTGATAGTTTTTTATTGGGTATACAAGGCCTTGCATCTTTGCTACAAAATTACTGGGAGATACACGGAACTTTTCTATGGTTATTTCATTGGCTCTGCATTTGAACTTTCTTTTTTTGTCCTTGGGTTGACTAAGCTTATGGATAATGGTAATATCAGCCTCTCTTTCTTTGGATATATTGCTTCACCATGGAGAGAATTGTGAGCCTCGTAATTGGTTGTTGTAAATCAATTATGCAGTGTCAACAAGTGTTTTTCTCTGTTTGTGTGTTAACTTCTGTTTACAACCCAACAAATGAGGTTGAATGATAAAGTAGTACATGAAGCTTCTACACTCATGGCTTTAATTGTTGTGCTATAAAAAAGTCTATTATTCAGCCATTTATCATTTTATTGTTACTTTTGAGTTACTAATAAAAATCAGAATCCTTACACTTCGTCTTATCTCTAATCTCCCTAACAAGAACTTTCACGTCAAATTGAGTCTTTTTCACTAAAGTTTTTTATTCTTTCACCTTCTAGTATTTATCTTTCATCCTCGTACAAATCTCATAGAAAATAACATATCTATTTATAGAATTTTCATCTTTAGATTCCACCTTCTATAACTTGTAACTATTTCTACTTTTTGGGATCATACAAATTAAGTTTTCTCTTCTCCCATAAAATAGTTTTCTCATCCCGTAAGTTGACGAGTTTTTGTTTCTCGTTGCTGTCTTTTTTTTTTTATAAAATTTTTAATTATTGAATTTTATTTGGTTTAAATCTCTAAAATTAAAATTCGCATGAATATTTGTAGATTTTCTGTGAATTTTAATTTTATGGATTAAAATCAAAATAATTTTAATATTTAAAGATTATTTTCAAAAAAAATAAATAAAAAATAAAAAAATCGTCAATTTACAAGCTCAAAAATTTATTTAAGATTATTATTTATTATATTAATATTTTCTCTTATAATTGATTCTAACTTTGAACTTATTCTCTCTGTTTCATATTATTTATTGTAATTGACTATTTTATACCGATTAAAAAAAATAATAAATAAAAAAGAATAGTGATTTTAATAAATTATTTTGATTAATTATTGATATATTTAAATTAATATTAATATTAAATAAAATAATAATAAATTAATAATATTTATTAGATAATATAAATAAAAGATTAAATATAAAATTGCATTTCTGATCTAAAGTAACAATTATTTTAGAACAATTTTTTTTTTAAATATGCCACTTATTTTGAGATGGAAGAGAGTGTAGTTTATTAATTTTTTTTTTTTGTTTCTTTAACTCAAGCAAGTGAGCTACCATCTCCATTTTAAGTAAAAGTTTATCAAAGTAAAAGATAATAAATACAAAAACACGTTGCAATGGAATTTATCCCGTTTGACCATTCCTTCTCGTAAACACAACCAATTCAACTAATGCTGTGCAAACAAATGCATCAAAATTAAGTGAATTTACAGTTATAAAGAAACTATATTATTATAATTAAAAATACTATTTTTTTTATTTCTCTTTTTCGTCGTTTTTCAGCTTGTATGGATATCACATGTTATATATGACTTATTAAAGAGTTATTTGATAGGAACTTATTGGAGGAATAGTAAACACTTTGACAAAATCGACGCTGCTTTAATTTGCACTTCGTTATCTTTGAGTTGATCGAATCAAATCATACAACTACTAACCATATTGTTATAATCCACCATAATCATAAATTCATTAGGAGAAATGTATCTATGGAAAGTTATGAGAACAAAAATTTTTTCCAAATAAATACTATTTTGTTTGTATAATAGAGCCTACTCCTTTGAAAAAAATCCCATAATTATATGGCTACATTAATTTTCCCGGCCCATGCAAAAATGACTTGTTGACGTAGACAAACCTTGTCATTGCAAATAACCATTATAAATATGGCAATAATTCTATAATTTGATAAACCACATCCCTCTTCTCAAGAACAAACAAAAATACTAGAGGATTTTGCTGATGGCTCCTTTAAATGGTTCTAGATTAACTATGATCGGTTTGGTTCTATTTGTTCTAGTAATAGGGAGTGCCAATGCAAATCTTTCTACAAACTTTTATTCGAGTTCTTGTCCACAACTCTTTTCTACTGTGAAATCCACCATGCAATCTGCCATATCAAAGGAGGCTCGAATTGGTGCTTCCATCCTCCGTTTATTCTTTCATGATTGTTTTGTCAATGTAAGTCTTCTCATGTTTCACTAGTTTAACTAGCTATTATATCTCATCAACACTGTGAACAACTTATATATTACAGGGTTGTGATGGATCCATTCTACTCGATGACACAGCAACCTTTACCGGAGAGCAACATGCGCTCCAGAACAATAACTCTGCTCGTGGATTTGAAGTAATTGACACCATAAAATCAGCTGTAGAGAGTGTATGTCCCGGAGTTGTATCATGTGCTGATATTCTCGCCATTGCAGCTGCAGATTCTGTTGCAATTGTATGTGTAATCATATAACAATGATTTATTAGTTAACCTATAAAAAACTAGATAACAAACTAACCGTGAAAATATGGTATTCTTACTCTTGTGTTGTTTTTATTTTATATGGTAGCTTGGAGGCCCAACATGGAATGTAAAACTTGGAAGAAGAGACGCTACGACAGCCAATCAATCTGCCGCAACTACCTCCATTCCGAGATCAGATTCTGACCTCAAAGTACTTACCGAAATGTTTAGTAATAATGGTCTTTCCATCAAGGATTTAGTCGCATTATCAGGTATAGTTGTTGTGATTTAGTGAAATACATGAAATTTTTTTACTTATACTTAATTAATTGACCAGGTGGTCACACAATTGGCCAAGCAAGGTGCATAACCTTTAGGACAAGAATCTACACCGAGACAAACATAGATAATTCATTTGCTAGCACAAGGCAATCTAATTGTCCAAATGTAACCGGAACAGGAGATAACAATTTGGCACCCCTTGATCTCCAGACTCCTATTTCTTTTGATAATGACTACTTTAAAAATCTTGTTCAGAAGAAGGGTCTTCTCCATTCAGACCAACAACTTTTCAACGGCGGCTCTGCCGACTCTATAGTGAGTGGCTATAGTACTAATCCAAAATCCTTTTCTTCTGATTTTGCTGCTGCTATGATCAAGATGGGAGATATTAAACCTCTCACTGGATCAAATGGAGAGATCAGAAAGAATTGTGGAAAAATAAACTAATTTGTTTAAGTTTAAATTAATTAAGGGTTGTATGTATACATATACAAAGTTGTGATATATCTCCGTCAGAGCTTTAGAACTTGTTTGTTAAGAAAAATCCAGTGAACTTTATGAAAGTTCCTAAATTAAATAATGTTAGAGGCAATAATATAAAATCATGTTTGGGAATAGATTCTGAGATAAGATATATATCAAAATCATCTATTTTCTCCTTCTTTGTCAGAAATCAAATATATTTAAAGAGATAAAGTAAACTTCTATTAACCAAACACCAAGATACAAAAGTTTTTAGAAACAGAGAAAAACACTTAAGCTCTAAAAAGAAAAGGTAAAATAAATGGTCTAAGGGTTTGGTGGAGGAGGAGGAGGCTGCCTTGCTATGATTTCCTTCATCAAGTTGGAGAGGCTAGAATGCTCTTCAATCCACTGGTCTTGCTTGTCAAGACGCTGTAGGATGATGGTATTTGTTTTCTTCAACTCTTCTAAAGTTTCCTTCAACCCATGTGGCATTTCTGTAGTAACAGTAGTCTTCAAAACAACATAAGGGCTACCATCTTCAGCAGAAGAGTTCTCAAATTCAACCATCTCAGAAGCAGTAGCTTCTGTAGTTTGTTCATTCATTGCAGAAGCGGGTTCTTCTTCGGGAATGTCTACTTCAGGAGAAGACAAACAACGAGAAATTGGAAGAGGTGCCTTGGAAACAAGCATAACCTTATGCTTCTTCCTTGCTTCTTGATTACAAAAGACTTGAATGATATTGGAGTTGACCGCCATCCACTTTCTGAAACCAAACCAGATAACATTGGTATGTTCAGGATCTACACTATCATAAGTGCTTTCTACGACATAACACAGTGAGTCTAGAGCATTATGTTCAAAAAAATATATTAACTCATCGAGAGGGTTTGAACAAACATTAGTGCGAAGAAAGTGGACTTCATGAGTCATCTTAAGAGAATAAAAATAGACTTTGCAGTCTCTATTTATGATCTTCTCATACTCATCGTAATAAATAACACTAAGCATAATTGTTCTAGCTTTGTAGTGGTTCTTGTAAGTCTTTTTCTGAGCATATGTCATTGCACTTCTTGAAATCTTTTTACCTTTAGCATCTACTAGATAATTGTAGCCATTAACTACCAGATCCCATAGATCTAGGTCAAATCCCAGAAAATAACTTTCCATTATGTCCTTCCAATCACTACTACGAAAATGGGCTTTCACAGCGCTTTTTTTTGCCCTTTAAAAGCGCTTAAAAGTGCTGCCGTAGCCAGCGCTGGCGTAGGCTACGAAAGCGCTTTTTTCTGGCCAAAAGCGCTGTCGTAGGTGGACCTATCCCAGCGCTTTTTCCTTAAAAAGCGCTTTGATAGGGGGGTCTTTCCCAGCGCTTTTTGAAAAGCGCTTTGATAGGTGTGCTATTTAAATTTTTTTATTTTATTTATCAGGCCTTTTACAGCGCTTTTTATGGAAAAAGCGCTTTGATAGGGGGGTCTTTCCCAGCGCTTTTTCCATAAAAAGCGCTTTGATAGGGGGTTTCTATTTAATTTTTTATTTATTTATCATGGTTTTTACAGCGCTTTATGGAAAAAGCGCTTTGATAGGGGGGTCTTTCACAGCGCTTTTTCCATAAAAAGCGCTTTGATAGGGGGTTTCTATTTAAATTTTTTTTTTATTTATCATGGCTTTTACAGCGCTTTATGGAAAAAGCGCTTTGATAGGGGGGTCTTTCACAGCACTTTTTCCATAAAAAGCGCTTTGATAGGGGGTTTCTATTTAATTTTTTTTTTATTTATCCTGCCTACGAAAGCGCTTTTTAGCCAAAAGCGCTTTCGTAGCTCATACAAATTTTTTAAAGTGAAACCTATAATTTGAGGTTCCCTGTGCGGCCTGTAATTTTTTTTTGGTCCAATAATTTAACCTGTAATTCAATCCTTATAATATTCACAGAAACCGGTATTATATTAACAGAAACCGGTATACCATATAATATTCACTCCTTATCTATATATATGTAACTAAATCATATATAACTAAATTTGTAACCATATATACATTTGTAACCATAACTAAATCACATACAAAGTATCGTGTTAATTTGTAACCATATATATACATATGTAACTAAATCATATATAATTACATCGAAAATAATGCTCCACCGACACGGTCGTCATCCTGCAAAGTATGAATATGAACAACACGGTAAATTAAACAAACAATATTAATGGCTCCAACACAATCAAACTAACACGTACAATAATATTTTATTCATACCCATCAGAATAATCTGTTTTCAACATAAAATTGACATATTTCCTCTTTGACTTCTTCCACTTGAACTTTCGTGTACGACATAGTATAGAGGTCATCAAAGTACTACATAAGAAATTATTACTTCAGTATATGCATGATGTTATTAAATGTAGAAATCATACAAAATTATTCTAAGTTATAAATCCATACCGTGCTTGGAATCTCTACTTGATTTTTATGAAGGATTTCTTTCATAAACCTCAAGCAAAAGTATCCGCAATCTACATCGTTATTCTGTAACGGACACTGCATAGAAAAACAGAATATATTTTATAGTTGTCGTGTAATTTTATCAAGTAACATTATTATTATAAGCAACTAATTTTGTACCTGCACTTTGATCCAAGTAATATTTGATGATTTACTCCGGGGTACCTGTGCGTCCCTTTGACTACGAAATATTTGTATTGATCTAAGAAAATAAAAACATATATTTAGATCAATCTCACAGAAATAATTAAATATATAAATATACACGAATAGTTAGAACGATCTCACTTACTGATCAACAGTTTCCTTCATAGCGGGATAGTTAGTCCATTCCCCGTCTACCGAATTCAGAAAGTACACAACTTCTTTAATCGGATCGATAGCCAACAACAACCAGTGTTTTCTAAAAATTTAAGCAACAGTTTAGAAGAAAAGTTTCTACGCAAAATAAACAAAGATATATTAGAATAAATGAAAAACTCACCCCACTGGAACAGTGTTATACGGCAAAATAAACAAGCTATCTGGGTTGCCGACGTAGGCCGTGTATCGATTCACTAAGTACTCCCTAACTGAACCCGGTTCCCTGACAATTGTCGCTCCACTGACAATATGGGCAGACAAGAAATGGAAGCGTCTTGCCAATACAGTCTCGCGCATTTTTTTATCGTACAACAACCTTAAATAAAAACATATAAACATTAGACTATTTTCATTGAAATGTGTAAATAAATTGTTCAACTAATTAAATGATATATTTATCGGAATACCGGATGTATGCGTGAACATTGCCGATGCCTAATTCACCATGCGTCATAATCTCAGTCATTTCGTCCATTCCTATCGTTTCTTGGCAGTCAAGACCAAAGATATCTGCATCCATAAGGATTGTACGAATACCACCTGACTTCAAATCTGAGGTTTCCAAAAGTACTCCAAGTGTATTCCGATATCGAGGTACAAAAACGCCTCTTCCCCCGCCTCTTCCGCCCTTATGCATTGACTTTTTCGGGGGTGGTCTGCTACGAACAGGCTGGGTCACTTGTTGTGACACTTTCGCAGATACCTAACAATCATATAACTTAGGTAAATTATAAAATCGTTCAGTTTTAAATTCATATCATATAATAAACAATTTAAGTGTACCTCTGGAATTGATGCCATAGACTCGCCGCCTTGCTGCAAAATCTCCTTACCCTTATTAGCGGGTTTTGTAGGAGGCTAATATTAAAAAATAATTAACTTAACGGTTCAGAATTGACATTTGAAATCTAAATGATTCATATTAACGGTTTTAAACATACCTCATCATCAATGAAAATGAGGTCCAAGGGCCATGCAACAAACGACCCTACTGCATCTCGCACCGATCTTATATCCAAGGCCACGTCAGGTACCGGTACCAACGCATCGGGATCAATAGGATAATCTACTGATACTCTCAGGTGTCCAGCCGGGATCGGTGTATTATGAATTAAATCTCCCAAAGTGTTGTACACTTTTCCCTTGCCAACAAGGTGATAATCTGATGCCATTACGTATAGTTGGCAAGATGAAATGCCCTAAACCAATATGCATACATATTACTTTTAATTCAATAATAGAAAGAGGTGGAATAAAAATGAGAAACTTGAACAATAGAGATTTATCAATATATTTATAATTACCTCAGGAAATTTATTCTGACGGTTGATACTAGCGTTGTCACTAGTTTCTTTCGCCATTGCCGCATTGCCCTTTTCCCTCATTAATACCTCTTTATCTCTTTCCAATGCATTGACTTTTGCTTGTAATTCCATAAGTACATTCATCACTTCTGCATTGGTAGGATTTCTTTTCCGATGATGCTGGTAGAAAGAGGTTGGAGTCACACCGTGACCTTTACCCCTAACCCGACCGGAATACTCAGGAACATTCAGTGCTTTACTAAGTACGCTCCTCGTATCCTGGTCGTCACCGGTGGACTCCGTTTGTGACAATGTCTCCTGAAAATAATGGAGATAAAAAAATCAATTAAATAGTCATAAAAATTTGATTTAATTAAAGACACAATGTTATACTTACGCATTCATCATAAATTCTTAGAACACTTGGATCAACAGCTTGATTCTTTCCCACACGGGCTTCCTTCCACAGCAAATGTGTTGGAAGTGAGGTTTCATCACTTTTCGTCTCCTCTAACTATGCATAGAAACAAACGGTTAGATCGTCAAATACAACACATTTAGACAATTAATAAGAACATATCATTTCTATTTATTACTTACAATTTTTTCCTCTAAGCGCGCATATCCCAAACGCCCTTTTTTGTATGGGTACGCGGGCTTTGATGCTCTCTCACTATTTTTGGCACTCTTTTGCCGGAATTCGTCATCTCTTTGTCTAATAAACTCAGTCCAATCGTCTTGTTTAATGAAAAGATTATACTTTTCTGGCCTTCCGGCCGGGAACTCTTCCAGCCACTTTCCTTTGTCATCCTTAAGATAGGTGTTCGTCAACAGATTTTTCCACCCTCTAAATCTTTTCCCGGCCAACCCAAGTACGAAACCTTTACGCTCATCTGGAACGTTAAAAGACCGCTGCGTATAAACCATATAAACATATAAGTAATTTAAAAACCATATAAACCATATAAACGTATAAGTAGTTTAAAAACCATATACACCATATAAACTTATAAACTTATAAACATATAACCATATAAACCATATAACATACATACCTTAACATCTTCCCAAAACATTTCTTTTCCTTGCTTCAATGCTTCACATTGTTTCGCATTCCATCTAGATATGGAGATTGGCACATGCATACGAACAAGTGTACCAACGTAGCTTGTGAATTTTGAAGCATTAACCCCAACTACTTGATTTGAATGATTCCAATCTACATTATATTTCACTCCCTTATCTCTAGCACGAATGATTTCGCGCATTATGGTGATGCCTCGTGCAACATCATTTGCTGAAGTATCATCCGCTGCATGATTTGTTTCTTGTGAGTTTTCATGATCTTGTTGGTTTCCTGGTGGGTTTTCTTGTTGGTTTCCTTGCGGGTTTTCTTCATTGCTAGCCATTAGACCTGTAACAAAAGTCAAACAAGCACATTAGTACACTACATGAAAATGGATAGTCGAAAAAGATATGAATAGCACTAAAGGAACTCAAAATTGAATAAAATGCTAAAAAACCAAACTTGCAAGAAATAAACCTCACCATCAGCTCCGGAAACATTGTTCTACTAATTAAGCA